GCAACGCCAACTCGTCAAAATTTCTTGCGAATTGAAGTCTGGGCCGAAACCGAAACTGACCCGGAAACATGACAGTGACCTAACAGTGAGCATGTAGGCCCAAATCCGGGGCTCGGTCTTGGCAGGTGTCGTGGCAAGCTGAAAGGTGTCCGGCACGCACTTCATAGTCCATCCTTCTTCGGATCACGTGGAGAGCTCGTTTTCCGAACGCAAAACCCCACGCCGAACGGAGTATTCTACGATATCTGCTGCCCCCTGCCCGATTTCCCAAGAGACAGGCCGAATCGTCTTGCGGAATGTGCTGTAGCAAAGTCCGGGCCACGACGTGCGTTCGTGCGCCTCTAGGCAGAACGTTCAACTGCGCACTCCATCCATCGTCCTCGACATCTCCATTATCTCACCATCTCGATCTGAACTGAACATGACATTGACATGGGAAGGTAGTTTCAGTCAGACCACGCCATGGGTTTGTTGTACATGCGGCAGAGGGACGGACGATCAGGCGCGCTCGAGAAGCAGAGGAGAGAGCACGTACGGTACGGTGCGTCGCAAGAAAGCCAAGGCGAAGGACCATACCAAAAGGGCTCAAGTGATTGAACCCAGCTGCCCCTCGTCCCGTGCCCTACCCCTACCCGGCCTAGCCAAGAGACAGTCCATGTGCCCTCGCCAAACACTGATGTGATGTGCATGCCCAGCTCTCTCTGCTCGTGCCTAAGGGCCGGTTCGGATTTCGGATAAACACACACTTGGCGTTACCGTTGAATTATTGCTCATCGAGATGGCACGGCACGGGCATGCAACCCAAGTATCCGACCAATCACAGCACTGATGACAGTGTCATCTCGCAAGTTTGCAGCGACAATCAGCTCCGGTCAAGCAAGCCTGATCACGCGCGGAATCCCTCTCGTCAGCTGTCAAACTCACTCGCGGCTCCACCCCCGCTTTCGCAACTTGTTGCGCATGCAAAGCAACGCTTTAGAGGGGTTTTGGCTGATGTATCATCGTGTGTCGTGTCGTGTCCGCTCTTTTGGGGCGGGCCGGGCCTACGACGATTTTGCCCGGCGCTCATGGTCACTGGGAGGAGAAAGTGGCGTTGTTCGTGGCCGTTCGCCGAACATTTGTGGGGCAGGCGTATATAAGCTACTAGCTGGGCCTGCAGATACGTTTCAGGATTTGGCTGATTGCTTATAAACACGAGCTGATACGAAGAACGGGCGGTGTGTCTCTGTGGCAGGTGCTTAACCATTTTTCCGTGATATATTTTGTGATGTTCATGTAATATAAATATAATGTTCTGTAGTACATGGTGTTCTATAATGTTGTAATGTTCACGTAGTATACATGTGATATTCTATGATATTTTTTGCAATGTTCAAGTGATACACATATGATGTTCGGTTACGTTCTGTGATGTATTATATAATATTCGATGATGTTCTGATAGTATACATGTGATGTTTTGTAAAAATTGACTGACAAGAAAATAAAATATCAGACAATTGCATTTGAGTAAAACTTTCTTTTACTTGCTTTGTATTCTTCTCGGGTGCACGCACGGTCCTTAGGCGCACTTAGGTTAGGTCCATGGAAATGGCATCAGTTGCTTTCGATAGCGGGAACGGTTGCCCGCCCCTGGCGTCAGATTCTTTCTGACCGATAATTTTCTATCAGCGAGAGCCCGCGCGCCCTAACTTCACGCCTCCCACGTTCATTTGGCCTCGTTAATTTTAGTGGTGGTAATCTAAGCATGCTCTAGCCACTTATTCCGGTTTGTTTTGGAAACACTACTGTTTCTTTTGGGAAGAGACTTGTATTACCATTTTCCCTTCGGTCTTCAGCTCTACAAAAGTACTACTCCTACTAGGGTAGCTGTCCCAATGCGTGAGAATCACTCTACCACACTGGTGGCAACCAGGCCAGGCCACCGAGGCCATATGACTCCTCTAGGCGCAGTAACACTAACACTGACAAAGATGACAAGGAAAATAGCACGACGGCAAATTTACCGAAGGTTTGGTGGGTTTTTTTCTGCTCCTGTGAATAGCACCTTCCCGGCTTCCCCAACGAGTATATGGAGGCGTGTGCGTGTCGATATACATACAGGCCAGAACGAAGGTCGCAGCACAGCCGTGATCAGGTCTCCGAACGAAGACGAACGAACACTCCCCATGCTCCTCGGAGAAAGTCCACGATCCACACGACGCAAAACGATCCAGACGGCGGGGAGACCAGAAACCGGTTGTTTTGGTCTTCACCAACAACCGAATTTTCCAAAGCCTAACTACGACGAGTTGGGCGGCACGCGCTCGGACGCGGACCGCGGATCGCGGCGCCGCCCTGCTGCCCGATCTCGAAGGCAGCCTGGCTGCGGGAGCGAGTCAAGGCCCATGAGCCGCGCGACGACGCTGGGGACCGGCGCTCGTCTCCTCCACGCGGGGATGGACGGCGACGCCCCGGCGGCAGCCGAGGTCCGGATCTCGCGCGGCCGCAGCTTGCCCCTGGTATCCACCACCGCGTGGCTGTCCAGCGAGAGCCGCGGCAGCCTCCACGACGGCGCGCCTCTGAAACCACGGCTTCCTCGGCGTAGGCGCGGGCGTGGCCCCCTCCCGTCCGCAGTTTGCCAATAATTTGTAAAAAAATTTTCTGTTTATGTTTTTGGGTTTTTATATTTATGTTTTTTTGCAATTTTTTTATTTAGCCTTTTATATGTTCATTTTTTCAATTAATTTTTTTCATTACTTTTTTTTGTGGCCATCAGATTTGGATCTGACGTTTTTAAATTTGGTTGTTTTTTTGGTTTGTAACAACTGTTTTTTTTTGGGTTACTTTTTGGCTTTGAAACAACCGGTCGTTTTGACCGTTTGTTCACTAGCTTTTAATTGAACCACGCCCGGTACGGCGGCAACGCAGCATGGACCGCCCGTCTCGGCTCCCGGATGAAACGTACCTCGAGGCTCATGACACCCGTGCGTGCGCCCGATGGGACGTGCCACCAGTAGTGCGCGCCCGTGCGGTACGTCCTTGGCGCGGTGCATGCTTGCTTGCAGCGTGAAGCGATCGGCAGCTGGCCAGCTGCTGGAGCTGAGATAAACCGATGGGATGGTAGTAGAAACAGATAGAAACACCGTCGTTGTGCTCGCCACGCCGACCGGCGAGGGAACATGAAGACGCATGCATGCACGGTGGTGCGGTCGAACAAAAGCTTTTCCATTCCATCGGCAGCGGAGTGCCGAGTGCGTGCATCAGTGGAGACTGGACATGCGACAAATGCTCACGAGCTGGAACGCGCACGGGGAAAATTTCTGTTCCAGGCATCCGACGCAGCCTGCACTCCAGGCACCTCTTTCTTTGACAATTTCACTTGCAGCGAACGGGTTCTCCTCGGTTCGCACTCAGTTTCCACACGCACCTCGACCTCGTGCCCGCCGGCCCGAGCACTGGTGCTAGCTGCGGTGTATCGTGCTCGTGCTCGCGCGGCTTGCGGCCCGGGCAACTTGCTACTCTACTGCATTCGGGCGCTGCGCCCGTGCGCACGGCACGGCCCGCCCCTGACCCCTCCAACATGTGAGGACACGTTGGGGGCGGCGCTAGAGCTGCCCGTGCGTCGAGAGTCGAGACCGCAGACGCCCCTCACGAGCGAGGCGCCGCCGACGGGAGTGCCGCGTGCGCATAGGGGTCTCCCTCTCGCGGTCACGCCGCCGGTGCACCTGCCGCCGGCCGGAACGGCGCGCGCGCGCGGGACAGGAGCAGAGGATCCATGCCGTGACGCTGACCGTTGACCTGATGCGGTCCAGGACCCACAAGTAGCCACGACGGAGTCATCCAGCCGTCGAGAGGGCAGCAGAAAAGACAACCTCAACATCGCACGTGGGGGTGGCGGCCCCATGCGCTCCCCCACCAACCGGACCTGGATCAGCCCCCGGTGTGACGGATTTGACCGCGGGCGGGGCCCACCTGGGTCCGGGCCTTGCTGCCCGTGGGTCGCGGGTCACGTCGACGAGCGGCCCGGCCCGCTACGCCGGCGGGGTCCGCGGCGGGCCGGGGGTGGGGACTGGGGAGCTGGGCCACGTGCGGCGGGACCCTCCCGCGGGACAGGAGCAGAGGATCCATGCCGTGACGCTGACCGTTGACCGTGCGGGCGGCCGCCGCGGCACACCAGAGCTGAGCAGCTCACATGAACGGCGACAGGTTTCACACACTCGAATCCTGCTAGCTTTTCCGGGGTGCTCGCCGGCTGGAAAATCTGCCGGTGGGTACCGAGGAGATTCAGGTGCCGGGGCTGGAGACGCGCCTGGGATACGCACGTACGTAGCGCCGCCGTTTGGATCCATGCGCGCGTGTGAATGATGAGTAGGATACCACTAGGAGCTCCGTGCGGGACTGCAACGTGGTCACGAACTCATGATTCGGGCTACAAGCGGCCGCAAAGAGTTGGTGGCTTTGACTGTTTCTGACGACTGACCGCGCGCACACCCACGCACGCTGCTCTGCTCGCAGGTGCTGCAGCCTGCAGATGACTGACCTCAGAAGTCGAGCCTGCAGGAAGACTGACCTCAGAAGTCGTAGGTTCTTGGAGACGGGATTGTTCATGTTGTAGCCGGAGTCGAGATTCTGCATGCGTCCAATGTTAATACAAGCATCGAACATTATATGACAGTCTATGATAGCCTCTCCCTGATCAAATTTTGCTTGGTAGTGGTGGTGATTGTTCGCTGTAGTTTGCTTCGACGACAGAGCTAGTTTCCACAATGGTTTCCTTGTCAAATTCCAACGGCGGCGACAACATTGCTCAGCTTAAGCAACACTAACATCTCGACATTGCAAATATATATATATATGCTTTAATAGGGCTTTCCCCCTGTTAACAGGAGCATCACACATGCAGCAAAAGATAACAAAATCTTGGCACAAAATTTGTTCCATCAAATATAAATAACCCATTGGCCACAAACTAGCAAAGCATAGGCACAAAGGAACCACGCAAAAGATTGACAAACAAATCAAGGTTCGCTTGCTGGTTCGCCGTCGCTGGTTTTTTGGCGTTTGTTTGAGGGTTCATTCTCAACGTCTTTGATCCCCTCGGGTTCTGGGGATGTATTATCTGGCGCAGCACCGTTTCCTTCTTTGTGGCAGTCACCACCATTCAGAGCGCCATTGATAGCCTCAGGGCCCAACAGAGAGATATGTTTGCTCGTGATCTTCCGGCCTGCTCTGACCTTCGGACCCCAGTGCCGTTCTGGGTTTGGAAGGAATCGTTTAATCTTCTTTGCCTGAGCCTTGCTGAGGGCAGCAACTGCTCTTGAAAAATTTGCCTATAAAAAACATAAAAAGGAAAAATAAATAAATATACAGTTTGCAGCCTGCATAGAAAAAGAAAAACATATAAGGAACATCATAGGCCCAATAATTATAGACCACATACTTCTAGCTTTGGTGATTTTAAAAGGATCGCTGTGCCTGGCGAATCACGGGGCTGTTCCTTAATAGGATGATTCTTCACCTGTGTTTTAAGTTTGCAATCAATTTTGTACGGCAATTTAGAAGTTCATGTAGGCAAGACATCCACCAGTTCATACTAGACACGAGATGCTGAGGAACAATACAAACTTACCCAGCAGCGCATGATGTCCCAAATAACATCCCAAGGGGCATCAGACTTAACGCCAAGTGGGTTAACATGGGTGCTTGAGATCTGATACCCTGCATTTAGAACTGCAGACCGAAACATAACCAAAGATGGAGATGTGCACTTAACAGTGCCAGCTATGTTATGGAGACTGAAAAACAATGGAATGTCATGTAACTCCTGCATCAGAAGAATAACTCAAATGAAGTTGAGTGTTTAGAGAGTATACAAAATACTTCGTGAATTGCAAACAGTTAATAACTCTAAAAAAAGAATAGGTTGCCAAAAGACAAAAGTTAATTCAGTCAAACTCTCTGCAAAATCCTACCAAAACTTAGCTGCAATCATTCAATTTTTATCATGCACAAGGGGAATGAAAACAAGGCCCAGAAATGGTTTATTAGTTGCACTTGGGTAACCTATTGACTAGATAACCAAATTCTTGACTTAATGGCCTATACATCTAGTTTGTATATCTCCGTTCCCAATTATATAGCTTATACTTCGGTTTTGTCCTAAGTCTAACTTCTCTAACTTGTGACAATTCTACGTAAAAATACACCAATGTCTACGATGTCTAATTAGTTTATTAAATTCCCCATGACATATGTTTTCATAATGCATTTATTTGAACTATAGATGTTAATATATTTTTGTAACAATCGGGTCAAGAACAAGTTAGAAGTTTAACTTAACACAAAGCCAAAGTGAACTATAATTTGGAATCCCCTACATTGTTTCTTTGACTTGAGCAGTAAACCATGTATAGGTCATCAAAACATTAACCTTGCTTTAAAACTCTTGCAAGCATTATCTTTTAATTAAACTATATACTAAAGCATAAAAAATCTGGAGTTGGCGATACAAAATAATATTAGAAATCAATAGGACTTTAACAGTAATAAGAATAACAATTTGATACTCCTCAGGCATCAATTCAAGGCATGAGTAGGGAAAGTCAAACTTAATTTTGAAACAACAATTCATCAAATTATATGAATATTTAGTGCATACAAAGTTGCATCAATAAATTTGTATTGAAAGAGCCTTTAGGATTATGTTGATTTTATGGCAATTGACATAAAGTGCAAGAGAAATTAAGGGTCAAAACCTACTGTGGAACACTTTTCCCCTACCAAAACACACCTAACAATTGATGGACGGGGAGGGGTAGGAGGTACCTCTGACACAGTAGTCAGAACTGAAGTAATTTTATCATATGCAGGATATCTATCCTTCATCGACTTAACACCTGTCAAAGTAGAAACTACCCAGTCTTGATCATGAATAGGAGCTGACCATATTGGCCCACCTATATTAAATTTCTTTCCACAATTACTGCATTCTTGAGGAACAACAGGTCCAATAGCAGGTGCATGCTTCACACCATTATTCTTCTGCTTATACAGGAAGAATAAACAAAAGGAAAGTTAAGAGTGTCAATATATAACAGAGAGAATGTTGTATCAAAGAGTTAAATGGTATGCAAAACATACCTTCGGAACAGTCCTCGCAAGACATTGAAGATGGAAAGAGTCACAGCCAACACACTGATATATGTAAGAAAGTTTAAGAGGTGTATTCTTTATTTCACTTGCAGAACTGCACATGGAATCCAAATACAATGCCACATTAGAAAAAAGTACTTTAACCAAATATATGGAACAAACTAGGCACTAGAGGGGGGGAACTCACGTGAATACTCGAACAAAAACACGGATATAAAAATCCATGAACACAGAGAGAACAGGCACAATATATCGCTTGTACCGATTTGCATGGCTCTGTTGCAAGAAAAGAAGGGTTAAGGGCATGAGAAACTAAGATAAAAACCAAAGAATGAAGCATGTAAAGTGCAGATTAACTTGATACATCCTTTAGCAAAAGCCTGAAATGAAAGTAGTTTATAGTCCTCAGTATATATATTGCAATTTGTAAATCACCTATGTACCTCAATACTGGCAAGGAGGATCCTCAAAGCCATTTCGTGGCAATACTTGCCCTTGGTTGGGAATGAACCATACCTACAAAACATAATTGATTATTACACTATAAACTGCTCAGATGGAACATTCCTTGAACACGTAGTACCAACATACTTCGAGTAACAAACTTCTCCATTGGTACCACAAAGAACTGCCATATCAGTGGCAGTGCACATTAATAAACCACCATCAGCAACAGCCTGTACAGCTGAGTCGAGAAATATAGATGGTGATCCATAAGGGTCAAGATCAACCTAAGAACAACGAGAAGAAAATATGGTGTAAAATCATATTAAATATAATTTGCAATGTTTACAAAAACAACCATTATCATTTAATGCAATTATTTCATGGCATATTTACATGTGACTTTTCAGTCCATTGACTTGTACCAAGAACAAGATTCACCCTTGCATAATAAATACCAGAAATGGTACCCCCACACCCTGACACAAACAAGTGCATCATTCCAATCAAAAAGCTAACGTATACAGCAACCTTGAATCCATTGTGTTTTCATCTTAGAAAGAATAACAGTAACAAAATCTCACATTTAGAAATATTTTTCTAGAATGCCTTACCACATCAAATTCTTTTGGATGCATCAGCATGTGAATTCGAGAATCAACCAAGTAAGCTTCCACCTTACTAGCAGCGGAAGCGCCATTGAACTTTATGTTTCGCTTGCAATCTTCGACAGATGCTGAAGAAACAAGAACCATAGTGAATTAGTGAAATAAAGCGCGGAGGCGTCAATAGCAAAGAACATAAGAAGCAAGTTTAGTAAACTGAAGCATTACCTTTATCATTATCCAGAGCAACTACCTTTCCTAAGCCCTCAACTTCACGGGCATACCGGAGTGATCGCAACCCAGTAGCAGCTAAAGCCTGGGAAAAAATTAGCAGTGCAATCTTACAAACCTAGATATTAATTGTGAGAAGAAAACTAGTTATTTGAAAAAAAAAACTAGATATCAGTTAATGTTAATTTAGAAGTATACAGAAACCGCATTTCCATTAGGGATGAAATATGGGAAGGATATTCCAATCTGTCCATCCTTCCGAAGGATTTAAATCCGTCTGTAACCAAGCCTAGATATTCAATGTCCCTTTCAGATGGACATTCAAAGTTGGGTATATGATATGGATATGTAGTATTTTATTATTATCCGACTATCCCTTGACCAAAACTATTCGTTAGTATCTGTATCCAACACGCCTGATAATATTTGTGTCCGAATCTGAATCCAATAAAAAATAACTATCTGTATTCATATCCATATATATTTGTTCGTATTCGATCCGTTTTCATACCTAATTTCCATACTATTATGAGAAGTCTCACCTCGAGGACAAGTGGTGGCTTAAGCTCTCTGGTTACTTTCCAGGAAGGTTTTGTTGCTTCTTTTGACAGATCATCAATTTGATCTTCAGCTTTATTTAGCTCCTTTTCACAAACAACATCCATTTCATCTTGCTGCCCAGTTGACGCATCCTCTCTATTTTGACTGGATGTTTCACTCTGTTTGTTTTTTTCAAGTGATGTATTCCTCTTGTCCACCAGCGCTTCATGTTCTTCCTTGCGCTTGGCAACAAAGGTCCTTAAAACAGCAATGGACATGTCTCTGTTGTGAACCTAATCAAAGCAGTAAACTTCAATTTTCAGAAATCTTTATGATGGTATAACTGGGAAAATATCCCTAACTTTGGAGTCATATGTGAGTTTTCCTCAGCGTATCAACTTTAAAACAATAACAAAATTGACTATCAACAAACAGTAACTACTTTCATTTGAGAAAAAAATGTTTCATAGCAATGTATCTGTTATGGGAAAAAATCAGGGAGTTACAGCACAATTTAAAACTGTTATCTTCTTCAATGAAACCATAATAAATACTGTGATGTGAAACCATTAGACTTTTTTTTTGCCAGGTGCATAGTCCAATACCAGAATATGACATGCAGAAGCTCAATCTACTGTTTCGAGTTTGCAATATACCTAAGCAATTTGAAACTTACACTGTTCCCATCCACTATGATAAGCAAATAGGTCGAATGGATAAATTCATTTAGCTGCACAAACTGGTAGAATGAGGTAAACTTGGAGTGGACAACTTGATCACTAATTGATTTCCACAGAAACTCAGATGACAGCAAGATAAACAAGACACATACACAAAACACAATTCACTGTTTGGTCTCCGTATAATAGGAAGCTTAACCGCTACCGGTGTATGTGAAGCACTAGTAAATGCAAATGAATTGTGATAACAATATAACTAGATAAACTTGAAGCCTACAGACCCAATCCCACACCAATCACCACCCAACACTCAATTTGGAATCCTCCAGAATACCGCAAAGCAGCTCTACGAGCGGTAAAGACAAATTATCAACTGGAAGTCAACAAGTCACTACAGTGAATCGCTACAAGCAAATTCAAAGGGTGCAGACCGTAAGCTAAAGCAGATAAGGAACCGATAGAACAACACCCCCGTTTTTTAAAAAATGAAAAAAAACAAGAAAAACGGAAGACGAACAGACCTGCACGGGATTATAGAAGACGGCGTTCTTCTTGTGCAAGAGGATCTCTGCTTCTCCCTCCTTCTTTATCTCGTAGTCCTTGAGCTTGTCCTCCACTTCCGCCATGTCTCCAAATCCAAAACCGAACCCTGTTTTCCCTCCCCAACTCACGAGTGGCGGACCGCTCTCCGGTGCCCGGTGAGGAGCCGCAGCCGCCAACCCACCACACAGCAGGAGACTGGGAGGGCGGGAAGCGGGAGAGGGAGGGCCAGAGGCCGGAGGGTGAGCTGGCGTGCTGGTGCGGCGAGGTGCTGAGCGCCCGAACCTGCCCGTGCAGCGGTGTAGGGAGTTGGAGCGCCGCCGCCGATTGGGTGCCGGGTCGGGAGCTCTGCTCTGCCTGCCCTAAGCCTAAGCCGCTAAGGCCTAATGGGCCTGGCCAGCCACGGCCAGACGGCCCAATGCCTTGATCTGTTAAGTCCTATCCTGTACTCCATAGCCAAATAGCTCAAGTTAGGTTTCGGGGGCAGGCATACCTGGTGTGGTGGGTTCTACTAGTCGGCAGAAAGGAACCGACGAAAACCTGGCAGCTGGACGTAGCGCGGCGGCGGTCGCCCTAAACCATAAACCCTAGTGCACGCTAGGTGAACTGGAGAAGAATTCTTCCGATGCTAGCTTACAGCAACTTCTCTCCGCGCGTTAGTGGGCCTACTTCTCTGATTTCTTTCAGATTCCGAAAAAAAAATCATCGGTCTTTAACTTTCGCGAAAGATAATTAAAAAAAACTATTTCAAAAGTTTGATTTCTCTCTCTCAATTAGAAAATTAGATTTTTAGACTTTTCCAACTTTTTGAAACCGTGCGATTCACCTTTGAACGGTTTTGAACTTCCACATTAGCAATAAGAGAGGTAAATCGACTTTCACGATAATTCAAGGATTAATTAGACTTTATCAAAAAATTATCCTAATAGTTTTAAAACAATGTCTAAATATTTTTCAAAAAATAAGCATTTAAAATACTAAATTATGTTTTAATCTCAGAAAAAATGTTTTTACTCAGGAGAATATGTCGTAAAATCAGTCTATGTTTTTCTAGGTTAAGCACCATAATATAGAACATGAATTTAGAAAATGCTGAAGCCCAGCATCCCGAGCTCATCTAAGTTGCCTTCTCGCTCGATCATATGCTCTTTCAGACCTACAACGACGTGGTGGAAGCAGTGCACCTCCATAACGACACTAGCCTTGGTGAGGTCGAGTACATGGTGAAACAGCCCACGCAAGACCGTCAAGTACATGATGCGAAAACCCATGCAAGAGCGTGTCGTACCTGACGAGCCACCACAAGCCCGTGTTGGCCAATAAAGTCACTCTTTATGCAAAACTAGCAAATATATTCATGCCGCACACACGGGGTTTATCGAATCTATAATAACTCTCATAATCCTAAACCCCACTAGCTATGTAAGCACACCATTGTAATTGTAATGTTCATGTCAGCAAGACGCATGAGCATTTTATTGTCCACGTCAACATGCCACCAAATTTACTAATCCGTAATTCCCACAGCAAAACGCGGAGTATGCTTCTAGTAATACCTATACACAATGACTGCTATGATAGAAAGACTGAATGATTACCTTAAATCAGATTCTAAATCCATAAACATAAATTCCTTCTTATTGAAATATATTTTTTCCTGACAATTCTTAATGCATATCATAGAAGACATCAAATGATTGACGGATTGATAGAAGCAAGAACATACAGGTAATACGCTATTTACTATTTTGCCTAGACATGTTCTTATCTGCACACATACATCATGATGCCAACATTTGATGGGCACGCTGAAAAGGATACACATATATACATTCAGTGATAGGATTCGGTGTACAAATAGACCGATAGTTCCAAGTAGCCAAGGTTCGCCACTTTGCTCAGCAAGCAAACCATGTTCGGAGGTCCCAACGCCATTTTTGTCAGAAAATTATCCACTCGATCCTACAGCATGAGGTTCGAAAAATACTGCTCAAATTCTTGATCGATGGTTAGCTTCTTCTCACCTGATTGATTGCCACACACATTACCGGATCCACTGTGTTAGTACCTAAATCAAGCAAGCAAATGCAAAAAGGAGGTGCATCGGAGAGCTTACTGTGATAGCCGGTCTGGCCTGTTGACAAAATCTGAAAATCGTCAACGCCATTCGAATAAAGCTTTTCATCCATGACCTGAGCAGCAGAACCAAAGACATCGCCAGCCATTAGTTCGTCCTCCATTAGGTCATCATACTGTTCAAGCACATTGTATATCCTTTCCAGGTCGTCATTATGTGGTTTCAGCATCACATCCGGATGATGATGCTCTATATCGTGCATAACCCAGCTGTCAGTTTCTCTGGTGCCGCTGCTATGGGAAGAATTAAAAGCCTCTGGTAAAAAATTGTTGCTCGAGCTACTGGATGCAGATGTCTGGATCTCAAACATTTTTCTCAAAGATTGTTCCTGAATTCCATTTTTTGAGTCCACTTCAATGCACCCACCAAATAGGCTTATAGTGTTCTCACAAGAGTCCAATTCTTCAGGTATGCTGACCATGTCCGTCCCAGAGGTCTTGTTCATGAAGATGCCATCATATCCTAAACTTTCTGTGGTTGCAGACTCATCCTCATGGCAAGATAACCGTTTGCGAAACTTGCATTTCAGTGGTAGCAACTTTGGATCACTCAGCTCATACTGTGATTTTCTTTTCTTACAAGGACTGTTGATGGTGTAAACTTTTTCCGTGCTGTTGGAACTGTAACAAACAATAGCAAGGCACATTACAAACCAGAATTACATTTTCACATAGACACATAACAGTAAGCAATCACCTAGGAAACGAAAACGTTCTCACTATTGAGGCTCCACATTAATCCTCACAAGACATACTAAAGAAAGGGATAATACAAGAAATTCTCACATAAAACAGAAGCATCTAGCCACTAGTACAGTAGACTTTAATCATCATTGATAATAATAGCTATTGAAGACACATATATGTATGATGCAGAGGAAAAAAATACAAATATGGATGGAAAAACAGAGTAATTGGTAAATTATTTTATATATGGGTACTGTGTTAGAAAATACATGGGCGACTGAGGGAGAGGGAGAGAGGCAGAGGGAGTAGTGGTTCTCATCTCTGCAACCCACAATTTTCGCAAGAGAACTAAATCCAAGTTGGAGAAGATCATGATTTTTGCTGGTATAGTAGTTACTACCTTTGCAATTGCGGTTCGAATCTATCTGATTTTTATCTTTTTGTTCAAAGAACAAATAAAACCCCTCGTTGAAGCCCTTTATGATAAGCTTCCCTGGATCTGGGAAGCTTATTTTTTTGATCCCACTGATGATGAGTAGGACCAAATAATTCAATTGGAGCAGTTGCCGATCCATACAGCATAGTTTTGTCAACTATGAAAGCAGCCAAAAAAAAAAAAACCAGTAACGATACTACTGGAAAGTACAGTTTCAATATTGCCCATATGTAATCCTTTGTATAGATGTTGAGGCAGACAAACACTTGGATGGAATAGGCCTGCTAATATGCTACATGACCAGGATGAAGCTTGGATGAAACTAAGCAGAGGTCCAAACCAAGTGATGTTGAGGAATCAGCAGATGAGTTGTGCTTAGGGATGAAATGCAACTCGAACCCAAATCAGCAGATGAGTTGTGCTTAGGGGTGAAATGCAACTCGAACCCAGGGCTAGCTGGTTCTCCCTGAAATGCGTTGAGGCACAGCGGTTGATTGGACATCTAGGGGTAAAGAACTATTCCGGTGCAAGCTGCACGAGTCGTACCAAATCGAGGCATGGATTTCTTTTTGAATTTCTATGTATAAGTACTCCAGAACTTGAGTCTGATTCCACTCTTCTATTCGTGCCTTTTTCCCTATTCTTTTGTGTATAGTTCTTGATACAATTCCATTTTTTTCATCTTCCTGTAGATCTTCAAATAATTTTTTGGTTGTGCAAACCAGAAGGAATGGTGATTTTGGGTTATACCAAATCTGAAACCAAAGCAAGAGAGGGAGAAGATAAGCAATTTTGATTAGTTGTAACCCGTGAACTTCTAGTACTTATGTCTCCTAAGATTCTAGCCAACGTTCTAAATAGTGGGATTTAGCCCCCGCTATAGCGCTATTTAGCCTTTGGGGAGCTCCACAGCTAAGCTACGCCACTTTTGACACTAAATGGAATTTGCCGCTAATAGCGGCTAATAGCCGGTGAAATAGCGCTGAAATGGAGGCACCTTAGCGCCGCTATCAGGCCAGACTGAGCATGGGCTTTCAGCACCTTGCGGCCCAAATCACACGGCAGCCCAAATCGAGTCAATACACGCATTGGAGACTGGTAACCCTAGCCACAGACCACAGCCACCCATTCGTCTCGTGTTTCTTCAGACGGCGGCGGCAGCGGCGGCGGCTGCGGTTGCTTCGACTGGCGGCGGCGGTCTCGATGCGAGGAGTTGCTTCGGCGGTGGCTGCTGCTGTTGCTTCGACCAGCGGCGGGCTTCTTCTCAGCTCTCGACGAGAGTAGTTCTCGCGGCCGCGGCGGCGTGGTAGCAGCTGCTGCTGTTGGCCGACAAGCAGCTGTGAGTTCGATCTGCAAGCGGCCGTCTTCGAAGTGCGGCTGCGGGGCGACGAGCAACTTCGATTGGGGAGCGGCAAGCTGGCGACCATGTCCCAACCAGAGCAGACAGGCAAGTTCCTTCCTTTCCCGCTTAAACGCTTTACTAATTTGCTACTGCTGCTGTTGAATGGTTTACTCTTTACTGTAAATAAATTGGCAATTATCCCATGAAGCAAGTAGAGTATCATATCTATTCCAGGTTGGTGCAGTAAGCTGACATTTTTATCTCATATTAATTTTTGTTGCTTAGGTGGTACTGCATCTGAATCAGTAGAACAATCAGCTTCAACCAAAGTTGTTATCAACTCAGATGACCCTGCATGGAGTCATTGTTATTGCCCAGACCCAAAGAAGAAGCATTCAATAGTGTGCAACTACTGTAAGAAGACGATAAACACTGGAATTACAAGAGTGAAGTACCATCTTGCTCGTCTTGGTGGCCACAATGTCAGTAAGTGTGACAAGGTTCCGACCGATGTGAAGGAAGAGATGCTAGCTTTGGTTGCCAAGAAAACTAGTGAAAAGGAACAAAAGCAGAAGGAAAAGCAAAGGGCCAGAGATGAAATTGATCTGGATCGCTCAGATGGTGAAATGTGCAGTGAAGACTCTGACCATGGGAACAAGGTTGTTGTGCTAAAGTCAACAAAAGGACCTAGTTGTAGTGCTGTTGGTTCATCGGGTAGTGGCTCTATCGAGAAGTTCTACAAGCCGGCTTCTATAGAAGAGGATGTGCAGAAGAACCAGAAAGGAGCTAACGTTAGCCAAAAGGTTCAAACAAAGTTAACAACTCAGAAAAGAGAAGAGAGGAGGGATAGAGCTTGTGAGTATATATGTCAGTTCTTTTACGAAGCTAGCATTGCACACAATACAGTCCTTCTTCCTAGCTTTGCCAATATGGTTGAGGCCATTGGAGCCTTTGGTAGAGGTTTGAGAGGGCCTAGTCCCTATGAGATGAGTGGACCATTTTTGCAGAAAAGGAAACAGAAGGTGTTGGATGGATTCAAGAGCCATGAAGAATCATGGAAAACCTCAGGTTGTACACTTAATGACAGATGCATGGACAGATAAGAAGGGCATGGGAATAATGAATTTAGTCGTGCATAGTGCTCATGGGGTCCTTTTTTTGGATTCTGTGGACTGCTCTGGTGTCAAGAAAAATGGTAAATACGTCTTTGACCTTGTGGATAGATGCATTGAAGACATAGGAGAGGAAAATGTTGTCCAAGTGGTCACTGACAATGCTAGTGTTAATGTAGCAGCAGCAAGTCTTCTAGCAGCAAAGAGACCCAAAATATTGGTGATAAAGATTCTAAGTTTGACATGTAGCTCCTCTGGTTGTGAGAGGAGTTGGTCAGTATTTGAACAGGTAATAAAAATAATTGTACTTCCACAACTCACCTACATGAATATATTTTTGCATCGTTATTCATTCCTTGAATTTTATTCACCTAAACAAAACTAGGTGCACACAAAAAAGCGCAACAGATTACTTCATGAGAGGATGAGAGACCTTGTATTTGTCAAATTTAACTCCAAACTAAGGCATAAGAAAGAGAACAAGAGTAGAGATCCCATAGAGAAGGAAATAAATGATGTGCTGGGGGATGACAACAATGAGTTCATTACTGGATTAGAACCAAATGCAAATCAAAGTCAAGAAGATCAGGGATGTGCAGAAACAGCAGCAAAAGCACAAGAAGGAGCATCACAGGGAGCATCAACATCACAAGCAAAAGCCAAAAGGAAAAGGCCTGTGCGCCCTAGGAAGAAATTCAGGACCGTGGCATCTCTGACGAAGCCTCGGTCTGCAGCCTCTACTTCTGAATCAGAGGAAAATCAAGATGCTATGGAATCTACTGATACTGACGATGATTAGATGAGTACAGCAAACTATTCAGATGCTGAAATGCATGTGTGATGTACTGATATGTATCAGACTATGGCCTATGCCTCCATGCCTTATGTTTGTTTGTCTATCTGTCACTGTTTAGTTGGTATGCAGTGTAATGTCTGTCAACCTTGTTTGAACTTTGAACTCATGTGTGTATGTGTCTATGTGATGTATCATGTATGAACTATGAAGCTGTGATCTGATGTGTTAGTAAGACTTTGAACTATCTGTCCCTAGTTACTTGATAATTGGTATTTGTAATGTCTTCATCTTCTATGTTTATTATGTGTAAAATTACCTGATTTTTGACATATTTTTTGCTCAGCCGCTAAATGGCTTAGCCCACTATTTAGCCCGCTATAGCCTTTCTTAGCCTTTGGGAGAGGCAGCCGCTAAGGGGCTTAGCCCGCTATTTAAAACATTGATTCTAGCCCATGCAATATTAACAGTTTAAGGCAATATAACAACCAAATGACAATGTTTTCATTACCATCTGATCTTGCAATCATCATCCGTTAGCATTTATATATCATCTGTTAACAATTAACATGATGTTCTTATCATCTCTGATCTCTGCAAGAGAAAACATGATAAGATCTGCCTAGTAGTAGTGGGGTTGGAGAAGGGTCAAGCCTGAGGTGCTGAGTTATCCTGGTGGCCAAATAGGAGGATCCAGTCAGCCAGTTGGGCTATTTATTGTTCTCTCCCATAGTCCCATGCACTTCCTAAGTCATTTCAAGAGCTTTATATTTTTCAAGCATGGAGAATATATGAAAAGACCAATACCATTGATTTGGTGGTACTCAGTTAGGACGTGGGAGGCTTAGCAAGACCTTACAAATGTACTCTCTTGGATTATGTGGTACAACATATATATGGTCACTGATTCAACCACAAGAACAGGTCCAGTCAATACCAAAATATGAGGCCCTTTATTTTTGATCCTTCTCATGATTTGGGTTATATAACATTTGCTAGGACAGGTTTCCAAAAATTTTAACAAAATTATTGATTCTCAAAGAAATGGAAAAAATTGTGTTTTTGAATTATAAGAAATAGAAAAGGTTGCTATTTTGGCCCAGATTGTTTTCCGAATTGCATGTTTGCCACTAGAATAAACTAAATTTCTATGGTTAGATTGTACAAGAGAATCTGAATGTAATGCAGGAAACTTTTAAAATCCATTGGGAATCTTGTGAACCTCTAGCTAAATTTATGTGTTCTCCAATCCTAATATGTACTATAAAACTCTCTGAGATATTAGCATGCACTGGTGAAGTAAATATTGAGGCAAAAAATAAAGTTTAACAAAAATAGACACTAATGTTGCAATGGCACTTTAGTTGTTTAGTACTGTCAGAATTAGTCAGATGGCCATTAGCCCATTACCCACCTAAAGAACGAGCATGTATGCATGCAGTAGCTATTTGTGAAAAAGGGCAAGGGCATACATAATACTAGAAGAGTTTTAAGGTACTACTAGTATTAGACTTCCTATACCTAGAAAGGAATTAGACTTTGTGATCACTATACTCATTAAGTGCATTGAGGCGAGGCCCCTCCGGAACCTAGGGCACTGGTTGGCTGCCCCGCTTGCCCTTCTACAGGGCCAGGCCTGCACATTACCATGCCATTCAGATCACGATTGATTTGAACTAAGTTGTAACAGCTAACAATGCATATATGGATTTCAGAGTTAAGTGCATGCTGCAATTAGAAAATATGCGAGATTGGATTGGCGGTTGGAACCATATTGTTCAGATCATATACATGGACATATGAGATCCTCAATTTGTTGTAGTTTATCCTTACAGATGAGAATTACAAATCAGTAGGCACAATTTGCTAGCAGTTCAATAGAGCGGACAGATCACCTCATTTTAAATCCTGTGGAAAGTGGATGTTTGATGTACCCTGATCTAATTCCACCAAACTTCTGAGACTGTGGGTGGACGTTTTACCTACTAATGGAAATTATGGGTGTTTCTACCTCTATTATCCAAAAAGCATCCACCAAACTAGTACTGTTTGTGATGTTGATTTCTTTTCCTCATCTTCACTAGTGATAAAGACAACAACAACAATCCTGCTCGTTGTTTCAGACAATGATTTTGTTCCATTGTTCGTTTCATCGCTTGGTAGACCACAAGCATTAAGCGAAAGTGCTTGCTGTTATCTTCTTATCTCCCAAAAGTCCTAGCTCATAGTTCTTCCCAAATGTAAGACCATGCAAAACCAGAATATTATGCACAAAGGTGCGAATCATTTTGGTTCACCCTTAAAGCTTATTGCTAGGCCTTTAACTACAAATCCATTGCAAATTTGCAAAGCCAGCTTGCCGATTCCCCAGTTTTGTAAATAGATCTCATAGGACGACAGGAATCACGCCTGACCACTCATTCTACCTTAAGCTCTTGCCTAATCATTGCATACAGAAGAAGAACAGGAGAAGAGAATCCTCTACAGTCCTAAAGGATCGATAACAACTAATGGCAGACAAATCTTTTTTTATAGAGTGTGCCGAGCACGTTTTTTATTAAGCAGAAAGAGTTTTTACGACGACCAAAGAAAAAGAACATAAAAGAAAGCTACAACTACTAAGAGCGACCCACAAACCAGAGAAGCAAGCAAGACTACGACCAGAAACCTCCTCTCTCACCAGACACAGGACTAACTGCAACCCTGCAACCTAGTCCTCAAACAACTACAATGAGAAGTGCCAAAGGCACGAACCACAAACCACGGGCGACAGGTCAGCGACCAAGTAGAGAGAGCCCAGAACAGCAACAGCACCAAATAGCAAAGAGGAAGCACCAGCCTCTGCACCACAAGCAACCACCAAAAAACAGCAACAAAAGGGGCTCTGTTTCACGAACTGTTGTCCGCCTGGCCAAGCACAAACAAAGGGGAGAAAGGGGATCGTATGCCAATGCCTCCAATGAGGTTAACAGCGCCCGAGGGCGTCACCATTGTCGGCCTTAGCCATAGCCAGGCATGGTTTTCGCCCTAGACCCTCCAAAACTCGTCATCCAATCTAATCACTACCGACCGGGGCACAAAATTGCAGCACCGACCAGAACAGCAATCTGAAGCTAGGCATGAAACTTTAGTAGCCACTAGCCACCATGAGGCACGGCAAATGCTCCGTCCCAGCCCAGCCGACCGACGGGAACCAGAAGGGCCCACATGAAGCGCACGGAGAAGGGCCGGCCATCCACCCCTGCCCCAAAGGCAGTCTTTGCGAGAGGAAGATGGCACAGCGGGCACAGCCAAGTCGGCGACGACACTGGGGCGGCGGCGCGACGGCGCGACCCAAATCGCAGTGAGATACCCGCCAGCACCACGCCGACCGTCCACGGCTCGCCAGATCGCGCGCCGACGTTGCTACACACCAGTGCCTCCGCAGCGCATAGCGAAGAAGACGCCGGCGGGCCACAGCACAACGAAGAAGGTGAAGACACCGAGGGGGCACCACCTGGGAAGCCGAGCGTCGGGCCGATGGTCGCAGCGGCCAGAGGCGAGCGCAGGGATGATCTGGCCGAGGGACCGCGGACGACCTGGCGGCGAAGGACGAGGGTTGAGGGCGGCCGGGAAGTGGGAACGAAGGAGGGGGTACGGGGCGGATGGGGAGGGGGAGGCCGCTGGAGAAAACCTCGCCGCCGCCATCCTCGTGGCGGAAACGAATACTACAAATTAAGCTGAGTGGAGACTGGAGAGGGTGTGTACTGACCAGCCTTTGAGGATGAGGGTGCCCTGATTGGTGGAAGCTGCCTCTTCCGCATTCGCCGCCGCCGCCGCATACTCCCTCTCCACCTTTGCTCCCATGCCGCAAACCCCACCACGATCCTCGATCCAGAGAGAAGAGCAACTGAGCAAGTGGTGGCAGGAAAATGGGTTGGGAGAGGGGACGGAGGCCCATCCGTTCCGTCCATGTGATATGACGAGGTCCGTCCCAAGCTAGCAATCCCATTCCATCGACTAACCGGACTGCTAGAGAAAAATATTGTAACATGATACGATAAATTCAAGTAAATATGGTCAATGTCTGCCTCTGCTCTACAACGATCAGGATTGCACGTGGAGTAAGGGCTTGTTCGCTCGAAAGAATTCTAGAGAAATTTGAATGATTTAGAGGAATATTGGAGGAACCTGTAAGAGAAAAATACTGTTTCGGATGAAAAAAAAAACAGATCAAGCCAAATTTAAGGGCACGCAAACAGGACCTAAATAGGTAGGAACTGCCGTACTATGTACTTACGTGGTACGAGCTGAGTATGGACATCTCTAGTTTCTTCGTATATAAGATTCCAATGACATAGTTTTAGTTAGCTCTATTCGGTTTCGCTAAAATTCAGGACGTGTTTTTTTTCTCAGTCCTAGACAAGAGACTACAACAGGAACTAAAATAGTGTTTGTTTTCAGGACCTAAAGGGGAGGAGAGATACTACAAGGGAGGTGTCGGGGACCAATACTAGGGTACCTGAACAAGAGAAGCTAATAACCATCAACATTGATTCATCCGAGCAATCAAGAGCGCGACTATAGCTTCAACCGACCTTCAGGTGCGCAAGCTCCGCCTCGCCCGGTCTCTGGGGGGCGGGCTCCGCCTCGCCCGACACCGAGGCCGCGGACTCCGCCTCGCCCGACCTCTGGGGATGGGCTCCGCCTCGCCCGACCCTTGGGTTTGAGCTCCGCCTCGTCCAACCTCTGGTGGTGGGCTCTGCCTCATCCGGCCTTTGAGGGCCGGCTCCGCCTCGCCCGGCCTCTGAGGGCAGGCTCCGTCTGGTTTGTGCTCCGTTTCACCCGACCTCTAAGAGCCGGCTCCGCCTCGCTCGACCCTTGGGTTTACGCTCCGCCTCGCCCGACCTCTTGGGGCGGGCTTCGCCTCGCCCGGCCTTTGGGGGGACTCCGCCTCAACCGACCCCGAGGCCAGGGGATCCGTCTCGTCCGACGGAGACCCATACCGCCGCCAACCACTCCAGGTCCAAGCGAATGGGCTTGGGTCAAAGCTCTGACACCAGGGAGGTGACCGGCACGCCCTGATATAACTCGTGGCCATTATGGGCCATACCTGGTGATTCACATCAGGAACAACATCGGGCGTACCGGTGTTGTTCTGCCTAACCCTCGTACAAGCATTGACAGGCGCATCAGTTCACCACGACGTCCACCAGGATAGAGTGGAGCGCCACGACCGGGAGACGACGCCTATGCATGGCGCCAGTGACGGACAGGGGCGCAACGTGGAGCTATCCCTGTTGACGTCTACAGGGTCGGTGGGACCCGTGTGAAGGAAAAGAAGGACCCGGCGATCGTGGAGGACTTCTTCTCCTTCTTATTCTCCTCTTTTCTCTTCACTGTAACCCGTGCTTTCTCTTGGCCTATAAAAGGGAAAGCAGAGCGTCCCATGAAGGGGACTAGAACCCATCGAACTCCGAACCGATTAGAACACACAAGCACACAGCCGGGAAGCGACCGAGCTCTCGGCACCCGTTCGCTCCTCTCACCAGAAACTTGGGATATGTCCTTCTCTCGACCGTTTGTAACCCCTACTATGAACTTTCAGTGCTAGTAACATGAGCAGCAGCAACGAACTGGACGTAGGGACATTCTGCCTGAACCAGTATAAACCTCGTGCCCTCTTAGCACACCATCCGAGCTAGACGCGCAATATAAGAAATTTACTAGTCGGTGGCAACTCGAAACATCGACAGTTGGCACGCCAGGTAGGTGCCTTTTGCGTGTCTCGACATCCACACCAGGCCTCGGATGGCTAGTCACAACCTCAGCTAGGTCCCGGGCGCGCACGTGCGCTTTGGGGACCTGAACTTCATCGTCACGATGGAGGGAGAGTTGGTGATGGCTCCCGTTGTCGTCCAACCTCTCCACTCCGTCGGCCTCGACGCAATCATCGAGGCGCTCGAGGAGCTACAACTGCACGCACCGGAGGCCTATGCCCTCAGAAGCGACCAGCTCCTTGACTTCGACTACGGGAGGTTAGAGCACCAGCTCGGTGCCTTCCTAGGACCCCGACCATTCCGGGAGGATCTACGCCACCTCACCTTCTCGTTCGCTAATGTCATGGCGCAGCTTGCGGGAGGGGAGCTGCTCTCTTCAGAATACCTCATCCGGAGCGCCCCGACAGTGCTCCCGTTCGGTCTCCGCAATGCCATAGAGACCGATGGCCACCTTGTGGCACAACGCAGGCCTCCATCCCCCATGAACGATGGGTTCGTGGGGATGACCGAATATGTCGTGGAGTCTTTCCACGACCTCCGTGTAGGAGAATCAGAGTCGCCCTCTAGCTCTAACTCCACGAGCCATCACCCTTCTCGTGAGTGCTTCATGGCGGGTACCCCCGAGGGACACGTCGAAAGCATCCACGAGGAAGAAGCTACCCCAACGAACGACCTCGACGACGAGGTTGGGGGGATGCAGGGGCCCACCTCGCCTACGGGTGGAGCAGTTGAAGGCCCGACACCAAGAGGTCAATGAAGCATGACTCTAGCTCGAGCAGGAATGCACGGAGCTCGATCGAGAGACGAGCACCACGGAGACGGTGGGCGTGCACGTGCCATGGCCCGCGATGTGAACCGGAGGATCATCGATGACGATGAAGCACTCCCGTGCTTCGCTCGGTGAGCTAGAACATCGCCACTATGGCGGGCTTGCTCTGGGGGCTTCTAGGGCCCGCAACACCCGAAGACCGTCGGGCCCATCGCGAGATTCGCACACTACTTGAGCATGCGGCGGCAACAGGCCAAGAGCTCACTGTCTCGGCGACACGAGCTCGATGCTGGCCAGCGCACGCCCTCGGAGCGACCCAACAAGGACGCGTCAGTCCACCAGGTGCCACAAGGCGGCAGGCTGCGCACCGCAGTCCCGGTACATGAGCGTCTCGGCCACAACCGTGACGCGCGTGACACCCTCGACGCCCATAGGCATGCCCATGGTGATCCAAGGGAGGGAGCTAGCCGTGGCTACCACCCTCGACGTGGTGGACGCTACAACAGCGGTGAGGATCAAAGTCCGAGCCCCGACCTACCAGGACCTCAGGCCTTCGACCAACACATCCTCAACGCCGCCTTCCCGCTACGGTTCCGACCACCAACCAACATCCTAAAATACTCTGGGGAAACAAACCCCGGACTATGGCTCGAGGATTATCGGCTTGCTTGTCAAGTCGGTGGAGCAGATAATGATGACTTTATTATCCGTAACCTTCCATTATTCCTGGCCAATTCAGCACGAACATGGTTGAAACACCTTCCGCCCAACAGAATCCAAAGTTGGGTAGACCTAAAAGAGATCTTCGTGAGGAACTTTCAGGGCACGTACAAGCATCCTGAGAACCCATGGGATCTCAAAAACTACCGACAGAAGGCCGGAGAAACCCTCCATGAGTACATTCGGTGCTTCTCTCGTTAGCGCAACGAGCTGCCTAACGTCACCAACGCCAATGTTATAGGAGCTTTCCTATCTGGGACCACCTACGAGTCTCTGGTTCACAAGCTAGGACATAAGGGCCCGCGAACCACCAAGGAGCTCCTCAACATCACCACCAGCCACGCCTTGGGTGAGGAGGCGGTTGGAGCGATCTTCGACCGCCTCAAAGGCAAGGCGAAGCGGGACGAGGACGCCGGCGAAGGTGCCTCCAACCGTCCTATCAAGAAGAAGAACAAGCAGCGGCGCTAGGGCTCGCTCATGGCCGCCGTCGGCCACAAGGGGGGCCAAAAGCCCACGGAGGGTACCCCAAACCACTTCGAGAAGCTGCTCGAAGGGCCATGCTCGAATCATTCCTTCCCCATCAAGTATCTATATAAGGACTGCAGCCTCATGAGGCGGTTCTTGTCTGGAGGCTTCAACAAGGGAGGGCATGGGAAGGACACCGAGCCGATCGCGGATGACGTCAAGGGGAGGGATGGTGGCATTCCAGCGCTGGATGGATGGCTCATGATCTTCGGAGGGTTGGCGGCCTATAACTCCAAGCGCCACCAGAAACTCGCATGCCGCAAGGTCTATACGGCCGACACCAATCTTCCTTCGATGGTCAGAGTCTGCCATAACCTTTGATCGGACCGACCACCTAGAGAGCGTCCCACAACTAGAGAGATATCCACTTGTGGTCGACCCGATCATCGGTACGAAGTGGCTCACCAAGGTACTAATGGATGGAGGCAGCGGCCTCAACATCATATACGTCGAAACGGTTGACGTCATGGGCATCGACTGATCGCGCGTCTAACCGACCAGAGCGCCTTTCCATGGCATCGTGCCTGGAAAGCAGGCCATGCCACTTGGACAGACTAATCTGCCCATCACCTTTGGGGATCCATCCAATTATAGGACGGAGACCCTCACCTTCGAGGTGGTCAGGTTCTATGGAACCTACCACGCCATCCTAGGACGTCCATGCTATGCGAAGTTCATGGCCATCCCTAACTACACCTATCTAAAGCTGAAGATGCCAGGACCGTTGAAAGGTCCTAATGGCTAGAGGAGGTTGAATAGCCTATAAATATTTCTACAACAACACTTAGCGAACCGGTTAGACAAATATGAGGAGATGCGAGTGTTGCACTAGCCTACTAAAAATACAAGCCACCTACCACAATTCTAGTATCTATAGTCTCTATCCACACAATGACTATGTCACTACACTAAGT